ATATTCATAATACTTTTGTTTCTTCTTTATATGACACCATTATATTGTGGTGTATAAGGTACATAACATTATGGATTACTCCTTTATTAAAGAACTCCTGAAACTCATTGGAATTATACTCTCCACCTTCGTCAGTTCTTAAAATTTTTAAAACTTTACCACTTAGTTTCTCACTCAACAACATAAATTTCTCAAACACTTCATTTTTTTGTTTGATGAAATATACCCAAATTCTTATAGTAAATTTTTGTTAAATGGTCCACATCATAATAAACTACTTCAAGTATCTCTTTTAATCTATTAGGCATCTAAGATATAAAAGAGTTTCTAGGTTCTTAGCTTCATAACATTTAGAACATAATTGCTTTGGAATATCAATATCAACCAAACCATGTACTATATTTCTAGTTTTCAAATCACTTCAACTTCTAAAATTCAAATGAATATATTTATGATAGATGCTAGACACTTTTGTTCATCAATTTGAAATTTAATTTTAAAATTCCTATTTTAGACATAATTGACTTTAAAATCGACTTACCTGTATATCAAACAACTTCATGTGATTGTCCTTCATGTGCATAGAAAAGCCCATTTCTAGTACATGTCCTAGGTAGATTCTTCATATTGGGAACATAAAGAACATCACTAATAAGAGTTTTTTTATCATCCTTACTTTGAATCACCACTTTGCCTATGTATTCAACATTCATAGAGATATTGTTTGCAAACTTAATTCCACTCTTCATCTTATCTTTGTGGCTTGTCATATGATTTGAACATTCTATTTTTAAATACCATAAATTTGCACTTTGTTCATCATGAGTGGTTGTTGACATGAATAATATAGTTTCAGCTTTAGAATCATTGTCAACTATACCTCATAATTTCTTGGCATTTTTTTCCTTTACATTCTCTAACAAAATGGTCAAGTTTTCTTGGCGATCATAACATTGATTGTCTTTCTATCAAGCTTCTTCTTTCTTCTTTGTTGGGTATAATGTTCTTGTTTGAAATCTTCATACCAATTATTCCTTTTCTTCCAGTTTCCTTTACCTATCTTTATTCTTCTTGAGGTTTCTTTTGATGTTTAAGATTACAAAGCCTGACTTGAGCTTCTCAATAACTTTCTTTCATTGAATCTGATTTTATGTACTTCAAGAATTTTTTGCAATTCATCAACTTCATATCATCAACACTTCCTCCTTGTTCAATTACAACAAGTTTGTCAACACCTTTATAAGATTTTTTTCAAAATATCACATGTTTCTTTTGTAGTACTTAACCGTGTTTCTCCTCATGGTAAAAGGAGCAAACAAGAGAAAGATAAAAGAAAAAAGTGTAGCGGAAGGTGCAAGAGAGAAAAAAGCAAATAAAGGAAGAAAAGGGACAAGGAAAGGAAGATTGGTGATATTTGAGAAAGAATGATAGTATCTCTCTCATTAAAAAGGAAAACTAGAAGCATATATATAGGGTACAACTAAAACAGATGTAGTAGACCTATAATTAAAACAGACGCAACAGACTTACAATTTATCAGCCTCCCTCAAGTTGGGAATATATTCCTCATTCCCAGGTTGGAGTACATATGCTTAAAGATAGTGGGAGGTAATGACTTGGTGAAAATATCAGTTGCTTGATGAGAGGAGGATATAGGCAAAAGCTTGATCAAATCGTTGTTGAGCTTTTCTCTATGATGTAACAATCTATCTCAATATATTTAGTGCGCTCATGAAAGATTTGGTTAGAGACTATTTTTATGGTAGATTAATTATCACAGTAGATGAGGGTATGTTTGATAGGAAAGGTGGAGATCTTTGAGGATATATATGAGCCATTGAAGCTCACAGGTTGTGGAAGCTAAAGCACGGCATTCGACTTCCTAAGAATTACGAGAAACAATATGTTGTTTCTTTTATTTCCAAGAAATGATGGAATCACCAAAGTAAATAAAGAAGCAAGTAATGGATTTTTTTTCTGTCAGGGCAAGTGACCCAATCTGAATCGCTATAGAATTTGAGTTGACAAGACGTATTGTTGTGCAGAAGAATGTCATCTCCTGGAGAACCTTTAAGATAGTGAAGAATGCGGTTGAGCATGCTGCTGATGCATGATGGTTGATGAAAAGACAAATTGACTAAGGTTATTGACAGCAAAAGCTATATCAGGTCTCATGTTGGTAAGATAAATCAAACATCCAATGAGTCGGTGGTAGGATGAAGCATCTTCTGAATTGAGGATATCTCCTTGAGTGATGAGACGAGAGGAATGTGCCATGGGAGTAGAAGTAGGGGCACAATCTATCATACCAGTTTCATGAAGGAGATCCAAAGTGTACTTACATTAACAAATGCGAATGCCTGTGTTGTTCCTAGCAATTTCCAAGCCAAGGTTTTTTATGTGAAATTGGAAGTCGAGGAGATTAGTGATTTGTTGAATGACCTGAGCATCATTATCAGTGAAGATAACATCATCCACATGTATTAAGAAGAGAGAAATTGTGTGATGGTCATCTATAAAAGAATGCGTTATTGACATCAAGTTCCTCTAATTTTCATGTTTCGATCCTCTTTCCCATTACTTAGAAAAAGTGAGCCACCGGTTCAGGTACAAGATACTATCATTACCGCCTAGACAATTAGACATCCAACCCGTAATCGCAACGACCCAATTGCAAGAGCGGAGCTCTACCAACTGAGCTATATCCCCCCGAGCCGAGTGGAGCATGCATGAAGGAGTCAAGTCAGTTTTCTATTCTTTTCCTCGACGCAGCTGGGCCATCCTGGACTTGAACCAGAGACCTCGCCCGTGAAGTAAATCATCGCACCTACAGTCCAAGCAATTGGGAGAGAATCAATAGATTCCTTTTCGGGAGCGATTCATCCTTCCCGAACGCATGCTTTCATATTTTTAATATCCAAAGTGTATTTTCATATATTTTTATGTATTTTTTTCTTGTATGTTAATTTTCAATTAATTTCATATAAAAAAGTAAATCTAATACTATTCTATTAATATTTTAATAGCTGAATTAATTTCATGTTCACTTCCATGAATTAATATATTGTTTCTGTTCATGCAATTTGAACAATAAATTAAAGACGTGATTTTTGTTATTTTGTGATATTAGTGATGAATAATTGCCTATTAGTTTAATTATAATTTTAATATTATTTAGAAAAATATGGGTATAAAAAAATTATCTATTTAAATCTAATTCATAATTATTTAAGTATAATACACTTTAAGTCTACTTAAATATATTTATCTAAAATTCAAACCATTTTTTAGATTTTAAATTTAATCTAATTAAATTTATATTAGATTATTTTTTAGATTTAAAAAATATAAAATGAAGATCAGATTTATATAGTTGAATTCGGTAAGAACAATTTGACTAAGTCAAACAGGGTTTGGTTGAATTGAGTCACATTCGTTTAAATTTGATTAGGATGAATTAGGTTAAGTTATTTTAAGTTAGATTTGACTAAGTTGGTTTAATGGATTAAACTGGGTCAAGTTAAATTGAGCAAGTCAGATCGATTTGTACAAAGTTAAGTTATGCTAGATTAAGTCAGGTGAGATTAGTGGCAGTCTCACATTTTTATATTCTTTCATATTTTTATATTTATTTATTATTTATTAATAATATATTATTTAATTATCTCAAAATTAATAATCAATATTCACTGTTAGGTTAGGTTAAATTAGACTCATCTAGGTTAAATTAAACTCATCTAGTCATACTTAATTATATCAAATCGAATAAACTTAGGATAAGTTATATTAAGTTAAATAAAACTTAACTTAAATCAGACTTAAGTCACATTAATTAAGGTCATGTTGGGTCAAATATGACTACATGAGTTGATTAGTTTACATCGAGTCAAAATAAATTAAATCAAACAAGAACAAATTTAATTGTATTACGTCAAGTTGAATTGGCTAACCAAACTAAATTGGATTTATTAAATGGATTCTATTATATACAAATTTAATTATTAAATGAATACAGATTTAATCCATGTTAAATCTAAATTTAAATTAGATTAAAAAATTAAATTAATTTAACTAATTAAATAAATATATTAGAAGGATTAATAATATGAAACGTGTACTTAAAACAAATAGCCAATAAATAATATATTACAAGAGAAAAATAATTTAAATTGACAAAAATAAGATAAAGAAAGTTTTCGAATGTCAATGAGACTAATGGACAAATGTAATATTTTACGTCGTATTAAAATGTTATGTGAAATATCAAAATCCTTTTTACAAAATAATTGATAAAAAAAATGTTATGCTCCTGAATACTGACGGACTTTTGTAAATTATAAAAATAATTTTAATTAGATATCACTCTCCATAAAAAAAAAACAAAAAAACTAATTATTCTAATTGAAAATCACCATACTTGTTTATATAATTTTAAAGTCTTAATTAAATATTATAAAATTCTTTTAAAATCATATTCCAAAATACTTCTTCACGATAAATAAATCCTACTACTAGATCACTTTTATTCATGTTTTTGTCTCTATTTATTTAAATTGATGTGTGTGTATATATATATATATATATATATATATATATATATATATATATATATATATATATATTATAAATTAGGTATTTTATTTTAGTTTATATATTTTTAAAATTTATTCAATATAAAAAGTATATTTACTAATTAAGATAAGTATTTGTTACTGAACTATTACAGCGTGAATTTTCAATTTCTCTTTTAAAATCAATTGATGATTTTCTTTTCTTTTAAAAAAAAAAAACTCTTTTCTAAACACCAATTCAAAATGATATATATATTAAAACTAACTCATGTATGATTTTAAAATTAAATTTTGGATAGATTAATAAGACATAACTTCTTCATATTAACTCATATATAATATATTTTCTTTTCTCTTATAAATATTTATGATGAATTTTCTCTAAACATGTTTTTTTTTAATTTAAATTAGTTTTATAAATAATGAAACCTCTTTTACCTGAAAATAAATGTCAAACTTCCCATTCACAATTAAGGAATTACATAATAAATTTTAATTATCTAAAGAAAAAATAATAATAATTTTTTTAACAACTATTATATATTTTGATCCAACTTCAGCGATTTACTTTTCTTCTTCTCATAACAAAAATATGGTAGCATTAATTTTATTGATGGCACAATAATCCCACATTGATAATATCCAAGAAGCACATAGCTTGTGCTTTGGAAGAGAATATACTTCTTATTAAAAACAGTTACCTACCTAAATATTTAGGTTTGGTAAGATATGTACTCCTTTCAGAAGACCTGTACTCCGTTTCTGATTCAAATACATATACATGTTGCGGGCATGCTCACATGTCCACACTTCCTATCATAATACATACATAAATACATAATGTCGAAATACAGGACATAAATCTCTTAACACATGTTAAGCACTGAGCACATCTCAGGTATAATAAATGTGTTCAGTTGGGGAAATGTAATAAATGAAATATGGTGATCATACAAAGTAATGCAAATGTATGAGAGCTTGAAAAGTCCATATCTATATAAAAAAACTCACATAGGTATAAAAACTTACATGTGGTATATAGATTCTGAATGCATATAATACATAAATGTCATATGTGACAGATATACTTACATGTGATATATTCTGAATGTGATGGATGAAGAACTGGTATGTGATAAATAATATAAATATGTATAATAAAAAACTTAAATTTATAATATAAATAATATAAGTAATGCACATGTATAATAAATGATAACTTAAATTTGATAAAAAAACTCACATATGAATATAAATATGTATATATTAATTCTCTCTCTCTTTCTCTCTCTCTCTCTATATATATATATTATTAGTAAATAGAATTTAAATGTGTACAGTTAGATAAGTAATGTCAGAAATAATAAATGAAATGTGCTAATAATAATCACCAAAATAAATGAACAATCAAGTATAATCAAAATAATCATTAAAATGAATTCATAAATATAGTAATTAATTAAGTATAACAATAATAACTACTAAAATAAATATATAATGAATGAATTAGTTTAATTCTATAAATAATAATTATTAATTAACAAAGTAATTTATGATGAAATGATTATATATCCTAATAAATAATAAAAGAATTAACTACTGAGAATATGATTATAGAGAAAAATCATAAATATCTCACACAAAAATAAACATCAATAACATTGAGAACAACAACAACTTCAACATTTCACAGCAAAATAAATATTAAAATAGAAAATGAATATTGAAAACAAATTATCTTACTAACCTTTCTTTGTTATGACACAATTATGTTAACAATAATTTTAATATTTCAAAGTAAAATAAATATTAAAAAAACAGATTATCCTAAAAATTCCTTTGTTTACAACACAGTTAACAATAACTTTTCACAGTAAAAACTGTCCTAAAACCTTTATTTATATATATATATATATATATATATATATATATATATATATATATTAATGGCCAATTTTATATTTGTATATGAATTTATTAAATTTTAAAAATAGTTATGTTTAAAGCAAATAACACTTGTGAATTGGACACAAACTACATCAACCCTAATTCCATTTCTTTAATAAGACACGTTGAAATGAAGAACCATGTTAACGGCATTTAAGTCCACTTTGGAGGCTACAGGCTCACCATTTTTCTGAGGTCTCCCTTTCACACCTCTTTTTCGTCATTTTTTTAAGACATCAAATGTATATTTTTACGAGTAATAAAATTTTAATTTTCTTTTTACTGAAAATAAAGTATCTTTGTTTTGAAAATTATAATATTAAATTTTAGAACTATAAAAATATAGAAATCTTCGCTCCTCCAAAGAAGTTTTCTCCATCTGCACAATTATATCATGAAACTCTCAGGCTAATAATATATTAATATTTTGTGGAATTGAAGACAATTAAGTGATGTCATTACAGGGATGTTTTGTGACAGGGTGGCGTATCTTTTTGTCTAACTCGCTCCTCTTATTCTCATCTATCTTTTTTGACTGAATCAAAGTTGGAGTGATGCAGTGCAAATGCTGGCTATGAAGCAACATCACCATGGCTTGTTGCTGTACGTCTGTGACAAAGAAAATAACACACACTTTTAACTCATTCCACTTCAAGTCGCTATCTGCACAAACAATTTTTCTTTCTTCAAAACTCCTATGCTATGTTTACTATTTAATCTCACTAAGTTTTCATTATAATTTCAAACACTGATTTCCCAATCAATAAGTACTACTTTATATGCCACTGTATTTTACTACTAATTTTTTCAATATACTCTATTATGCATATAAGTTATATAAAATTTAAAAAAATGGATACAGAATTAGTAAAATTTGAAACATCCACTGAATATTTGAATTTAATCGATTTTTATAATACATATATCAATAAATAAAAGTATAAACTTTGCTATGAATAATTAACGTGTTAAGTTATCATTATATTTAATGTGTTTCTAGTTTGTAATTTATTAATAATTATTTAGCAATATTATCTTCTACTTATTTTATTCATTGTCAATAATAATAAAATTATTATATTAAAAGAAGTAAGTTTGAAAAATTGTCAAAATTTTTTTAAAAGCAATCTTTTTTATATATTTATTTATGATATATTGATGATAAGGCACGAACTTTAACACTCTATTAAATTGGTATCAAATCAATGAGTCTAACTAAAATGGTCCCAACAACAAAAATGAAAAGACATGTCCCAATAAATATTAAGGCTTTGTTTGGTTGGAGTGATTTGAGAGAATGAAAATGAGAGAGTGGAAAAGGAGGGATTTGAAGAGAAATAGAGATAAAGTTAAAGTTGTTTTGATGAATGGAAAGTGATAAGAAAGTTTATGGGAAATTGTGAATGATTTGATTGATATGAGATATAAAAATTATAATTTTAATTGATTATTTAAAAAAATTACCATTTTACCCTTTGTATAAAATAAGGTTCAAATGATTATAAATATAATTTTTTAATTAATTATCCATATTTTAACATTGATTATATATTTAAAAGAAAAAACAAATTTAAAAGTGTTTGTAATTGGAAACAAATTTAAAAAATTAACTTTTTTTAGATAGTTATTAAAAATTATATAAATAAACAATTACAAAATTATGTACATTGCATATCCATATTCAAATAATGTTGACATATTAAAAAATAAATTTTACTAATAATTAAATAATTATAAAATATAAAATAATAATTAATATTGATCTGATAATAACAAATAATTATGAAAACTAATAATATAATTGTACATTATTATTTAAAACAAATATAAAATACGATGAAAATAGAATAATAATTAAAGGAAAGATTACTAAAATTATAAATCTATGCACACTAATGCTCTTCAAACAAATAATTATAATGTTATCCATCTTTTGCAATCAAGTCCTCCGGTTCAGATCATTCAATCACCTCCATTCAAGAACATGAACAACTGGAGAGACGAAGATGTGAGGGCAAGCCAAAAAGTCGTCTAACATGTGATGGGTGAGTACACAAATGATTATAACACTCGAAGCATAAGTTGCTCGTCATTTAGGTTCATGCCGACTTCCATATATCTGACTCGAATGTTGAAATGTTGATGATCGTCTCATCACATTAACTTGCTCATTAATTAAATCATTTCTGCGTTCAATGGCGACCACCTGTCTTTCAGCTATGTCAGATAATCGTTGGGTGATTGTATTACCTTGCCCGAGGTAATCTGTAAATGTGTCCAGCCTCGTTGTTAGTTTTTCAAATTGACCTTCCATCACATCAACCATAGGCGCTTTTCTTTTTGTGCCCCGAGATGAAGAGGTTCCACCTGAACCAGTAGACGCAACAGGAATTGAGTGAGCACCCTCAGCAGGACTGTCGGAACCCATGCGTGGAGGTGATCGATAAGTTGTATCAAATCCTGCATCAAAGCCAAAGTGAAATGGCTGCTCCTCTGGTGTGGGGTCCACATCAACGTTCAAGTCGACTGTTGCCCTTCGAGAACTGATATTCATTCGGGCCTGACGCGAAGTTCTTGCCATATGTCCAGTGGCTCGATCAGCACCCCACAATTCTTCCATCAAATCATAATGTCTTATAGTTGACAGTTTCCATTTAGCTGCAGAAGGCTTCGCCTACAAAATAATGAGAATGGTTAACACTCGTAATTGTTATGTTTTGTTATATCAACAAATGATAATTCATACAACAAATGATAATTCATCCCAAGCGAATCCACTAAGTCCATGAAACAAATCGTGGACCTCCCGCCATCTATCCTTAAGACTTTTTTGTCGATTTTTAACATTATTTTTAGTTATACCAATTAATTCAGACTGCCTTAGGGATTCAACTATATTATTATATGCTTGGGTTGTCCAACTACCATCAACCCGATTACCCAACCTTGCCTCATCAAGCATAGCAGTCAACAACCAAAAGTCCATGTCATCAGTCCATTTTGTAAACTCGCGCACTACAGGTGACGAATTCGGTGCAATATCCTTTCCTCTGTTCATTTTAAACCTATTGGAAAGATAATATATGTAATTACGATACCAACATATAATTATTATAAATAGATAATCGTAATGTATGAAAGTGATACTAGCAAAGATCTCAGTGATTTGATGAAGTCAAAGATAAAAAGGTCAACTCGCAACAGATCAAACAAGTCACTCGAAGAATGGAGTCGAAGACTTAGTGTGTCTTATCGAAAGCTTAGGTAAAACCACTTTACCTTTTTCCACTGCATGAAGCTCCTTCACTCAATTTGCAAAATGCCTCAAAAATAGTTTTAAACAAATCAAACAAAAGCATTTTGACAAAGAACTTTCTTAACAATGTTTTTAACTGATATAGTTTTAAAAGAAACAATTAAAATCACTTAGAATACGTAAAGAAGTGTTTTTACAGTATTTTAATCGATACAAACTTCTTTTAATCGATTAAAACCCTTTTATGACCGATTAGAATTCGAATATGACAGGTCAGAATGAAATATAATCGATCAGACTTTAAAAATGAGCGATCAGATTTATTTTAATCGATTAAAACACGTTTTAATCGATTAAAACCACTTTGGAAGTCAGGATGATCGATCAGAATGAAATTATGACCGATCAGAGTTGTTATGATCGATCAAAATTGAATTATGACCGATCAGACTTATTTCAATCGATTAAAACGAACTTTCAATCGATTAAAAAGACTTGAAAAGTTATGTACAGATTTTCAATCGATTAAAACGACTTTATATCAGCTAAAATAACTTAGGAAAATTTTATAAGAAGGTTTTTAAGCAAATCAATCGATTAAAACGCGAATCAATCGATTGAATCACTCTCAGAAAATGTTTGTAAAATGTTTTAACTGATATAAACATGGTTGTATCAACTAAAACCATTCTGTTAAAGAAACAAGAACGCATTAATGGGTTGAAAGGACTTTTAATAGATTATAACGGCTATTTCAACAGATTAAAACAAACTTTCAACAGATTAATTAATGCAGCAGATTTGAAAATTCTCTTTAAAAACAGTTTTGCTTGAAACTTTTAAACATAGATTGAACATCAGTTTTTACACATCCAAAGCAATCAATTCAAGCAACTATTAAGCAATCAATTCAAAAACAAACGTACCAACCAAGGTCACACCGAAGTTAATGGCCGCTGGCGAAGATCCAACCTACAACAGAGTAGCTTTGCTTTGCTTTGCTAGAGTCTTTTAGCTAGTCTTATGAGACTAGCTTTGCTTTATATAATACAATAACTTTCCCTATCGGCTGTAACTAGAGAAGAAAGAATAAGTCCTGTAACTTCTATCAGCTGTGAACACGTGAAGTTGGCTGTACAGCCCGTGACCACTGCATGTACAGCCCGTGACTTCTGTTCATGACTTACCTCCTTCTATCGTGTTTAGAATATATAATTTGTCAAATGATCAAGATTTTAGATAACGGTTCCAGTAATAACCACTATTACAAATATATATAAAATAGCGGTTAAACTGGACCGCTATTATATATACACTTTTAAGAGCGGTTACAAAGATAACCGCTCTTAAAAGTAACCTGTGATAGCGGTTATATGTTAACCGCTATCTAAAGTTTTCAAATGATCGATTATTTTGCCAAAATGATCGATCACTTTTCCAAAACCTGGACACTTAAGATAGCGGTTCACCTCGAACCGTTATCATATGTTCACATCTGATAGCGGTTCACCTCGAACCGCTATCATATGTTCACATCTGATAGCGGTTCCAGAATAACCGCTATCTAAAGGCTCCAAAATTTGAATTTATTTTATTGTATAATTATATATATATATATATATATATACATATTCTAAAATATAATTTATATTAATTACTGTAATATAAAATATATATTCCACAATATTACTAAAATTTATATATATATTATAGAAATGAAAATAAATTATATTTGAGAATATATAATTTTGATAGAAAATTATATAGATATATATATATTCTAAAATATAATTTAACATTTTGAATTCTGAAAGGTTTTCTCTAATAACAAATTAAAAAACATAATATTCAAAAAAATATTTTAAGATTCGATCTCGGGTTGTATTTCGCTCGAACGATTATACTCTCGCTCGAGCGAAATACCATCCTGATCGATCATAATTTCAAATGATCGATCATAATTGGAAGAGATCATAGCGGTTCCTCTGTAACCGCTATTTAAAGTATATATTAGATAGCGGTTATGGTTTAACCGCTATTACAAGTTGTATTTCGCTTGAGCGACATTAAACTCGCTCGAGCGAAGACACCTGCACATAATTTTCATTTTCGGGTTGTTTTTCGCTTGAGCGAAACTGATCTCGCTCGAGCGACATCCACATTTTTCGATTATGATCGACTACATTTTCAAATGATCGATCATATCCGAAAATATATAATAGCGGTTAAGATTTAACCGCTATTAGAATTGCTATATAATAGCGGTTAAGTTTTAACTGCTATTAGAAGTGCTATTATAATACAGCAGGCGTGTTCTCATGCAGGAGATGGAGAAAGGTAAATAAGTTATTTACTATTTGATGATGTGTCTTTCTCTGCTATCCTCTCAAATCCTCTCAAATCTTCAGGGTGAGCTTTCCTCCCCTCTCCCTCAAATCCGCACTCTGCAAATCCTCTCAAATCACTTGCAACAAACGAATTGAATCTCTCATTTCGTTTTCGTGAACAATGAATCGGTTCAAACAAACACGAGGCTAAGACTGCTGTAAAGTTTGAAATATGAATAGTCCATATATAAGTCTTTCACACAAAAAAATAAAAAATAATATATATATATATATATATATATATATATATATATATAATTTCTTTCAATTTGTAAGAGTTAACCATAATTATTTTTTTAAAGATCTTCTTAGAACTGGGTATTACCAATTACCCTTTGATTCAAAAATCCATTGTTTTAGATGTCCGGGTCAAAGTCCCACATCTCTAATGCTTGGGATGATCCTCTATTTCTAATCCTATACAAGCAGTTGTATCCACCAATTTGTAGCATATCACCATATAGAGTTATGCATGCAAACTTATATATAATCTATTAATTAATTTATTAATTGTTAAATTGTGTTTATTTTTATTAAATATAATTATTATTAGTTAGATATTATATTAGAATAAGTTTTTACCTAATTGGAGATAAACAGTTTTAGAAATTATAAAAAGATAATTAATTATAAAAAAATTAAGTATATGTTACTTTTATGCTGTGGTAAGATCAAAAAATATTTATAATAAATTATAGTGATTATAAGAAGATAAGTAATGATCTAATAATCATAAGAAGATAAAGAAATAAGAGAATAAGTAATATATAAAAAGATAAAAAAAATATAGTAAGGACAGAAAAAAAATGTATAAGATAAGAACGTATAGAGATAAAAGGTAATAAATAAAACTAATAAAATATAAGATAGAGAAAAAATTGTATAAAATAGGAATATATATATATATATATATATATAGAGATATAAGGTAATAAAATAAAATAAATAAAATTAAAATAGAGAAGGTAGAGATAGAAGATAAAGTATATATATATATATATATATATATATATATATATATATATATATATATATATATATATATATATAAGGAAAGAAAAGAAGTAATTAATTAAATATGATTAGGATAAAAAAAATAAATAAAAAATATTAAGTGATTTTTTTTATGATACGAACATAAATAAATAAATAAGAGAAGGGGAAGAAATAAATTGATGTTATTAAGTAAAATAAGGAAATAAATAAATAAGAAAAAAATAAAAATAAAATAAAAAAATAAAAATATCTTTTTTATTATACAAAATAAATAAATAAGATAATAATAAAAAATATAAGTATAAATAAATAAAATAACGAAATGAAACAGACCAATGTGATTAATACAAAGAACGAGAGAAATAAGATAATAAGTATTTTGTTTTATGAAAAGAAAAAAAAAATAACTAAAATAAAAACAAAAAATATAATATGTACTTTTTTATGACATGAGATAAAGAAATAAGATAAATAAAGGAAATTATTTTTTTATAACTAAATAATTAACACATGATAGATAATAAAAAAACATAATTTTTTTTTAATATAAATTGTTCTTTTCATTATCATATTGTGATTTCTTATCCAATTTCTTCACACAATTATCAATGTATGATAAAGATTGATCGGTAACAATTTTATTAATGCGAGAAATGAATAGTTGTTTCGTTCTGACACTATAATTTATATACGATAACAAATATTTTTTTACTTTTAATACAGTGACTAATATTCAATATGAGATGTTTTTATCATGACACAATAATTAATATCCGAATTGTTATCGTGACAATCTTATTAATATATAATAAAAACAAAATTTCCTTACAACATATTTATTAATATTTAGTACAAACGGTCTTTTTTACTATGACACAATTATTAATATTTGATAAAAAGATATTTTTTATTATATATTAATTAATGTATGACATGAACTATTTTTTAATAATAATAATAACAATAATAATTAATATTATTATGTTATTACACATAATATCTAATAAAAATTATATCTATAAATAATATTTGCTAAAAAAACTGTTTTTAACCTTAATAAAATTTGTCTTTCTCTTTATTATCTTATAACATAATTATTAATATTTAACACAAATTGTCTTATAATGTATGATTCATTCTAATAATTATTTTTGTCTTTTATTGCAATAGAGTAATTAAATCTATGTCTTTCATTGTCTTTATTAATATAATAAAATAACTAATATTTGATAAAAATGATCTTCATTTATATTTAAAATAAATATAATATAAGAAGTGTTTAAATATTCTTATCATGAAAGTATTAAGGAGTAGGTTGTTGTTTTTGTTATGAAATAGTAATTAATGTTTGATAAGTAAATATGATAAAATAAGTAATGTTTTGTCATTGTTACAATAATCAATGTATATGACAGAATAATTGATGTGAAAAGATATATTATGACAGAAATTAATTTATGAGAATAACATGACTTATAAATAATAAATTTATGATACAATTAATTGAGTTCTGAAAATAACGGTGACTATTCAATATTTACAATAGCAGTGATTCATGTGTATGAGATTAATATCATTGATGAGAAGAACAGCTACTATTCTACATAAAAATAAGTATAGAAAACCATTTGACACAAACCCATTTAAGAGAATAACAATGACTATTTTCTATATAAAAATAAGTATTCTAAAAGAAAAAAAAGCATTGAAAACAACATCTTACATAATTTTTTTTTAATTCAACTTGGCCTTTGTTATAACACACATTTATTTGTTCAATGAAAATGCGAGACGTTTTAAACTTAATTTTTGACAAGAAATCTAATTTAACGCCGTTTGTTATAAATGTAGCCCACGACAAACAGGAAAAAGAAGAAGAAATAATATCATTAATCTGGGTATATTATTTTCTTTGCATTAAAATAAATGTGTGAAGAAGAAGAAACTATTTACATTATTTGGGTATCATAATCAGTTATGTTGGTTTTTCAAGATAATTAACTATTATTTTTAAATAATACTAATAAATATTAATATTAAATAAAAAATTTCACATTACTTTTAACAAAAATAATATCACTTACTATTTCTTTTATATATATATATATATATATATATATATATATATTTTTTTTTTTCATGTATGTATTTTATATTTCATATTTTACATTTCATAGATTAATGATTAATTATTTATTTTTATAATAATAAAATAGGTTAGGTCAAATCAATTCATTAACTCATCTAAAAAAATCTAAAAAAATAGACGGATGAGTAATTTTATGTGTTAGTTCGTTTTAATTTGTGTCGTCTAATTTAATAATTTGTCGGATTAAAAATAAAATAGATTAAAAAAAATAGAATAAGACGTACTAAGTAGCAAACTCATTTTAAAATTTTTTTATATATTAAGATTAAAATAAAAAGAATTATAATTAAAAATATTATATTTTTATATTATTTTATTAAAAAATATAAATATATTATAATTTAAATTATAAAAATTAATCAACTAATTTTAAATAATTGATTATAATTAATTATTTTAATATATAAATATAATATATTTTTTAATTTATTTAATTAAAATATTAATTAATAAATAAAAACTTAAAAATTATTTACATAATTAAAAATATATTTAAAAAATATAAAAAAAATTATTGATAAAACCAGTTACCTTTGACAAGAGAGATTAAATTATGTAACCCGTTCAATCCATGATGGATAAGTCTGCGTCTGTTCTATTTTCAGGGCTAGAGGGACGGGTCAAAATGGAATGAATTCCCTACTCACATGATGTTAAATATTAGAATGAATAGGTAAGATGATACATAAATTCAAGGATTAATGATTTTTTTTTCATATAAAACTGGTAATATATAGTATATATCTTTGACTTTAATCTCATTTCGTTAGTGTATTTTGTAAACGTTTACACACTTTAATTTTTTTTTTCTTATGAAGGAAAGTTTGGGTATTTATGAAATACAGAGATTAAATGTCAAATTTAAAAGTTAAAGAATTTGATATTTTCCCTAAGAATTTGATTTTAGTTTGGGCTTTCTCTTTCTCTCACTAAGGAAAGGTAAATAGGATTTGGGTTGAAATAGATATAGGCCCAATAACGTGATCTCAAGAGTCCATTAACGTGGGAAATAAATTTGAGCCATAATATATGAATCATATATCCTTTTTCTTCTGACAGAGAAACTATGAATGATTTACGTTTAGTATACATTTATATTTTGATTGATTATTTGAAAAATAATAATTTAATTGATCATTCATTTGACTAAAATATTGAGTAGAAAATGTTTCTAATTAATTATTTCATTAAATATTGAATAGGAAGCGAAGGATGCATTTATCTTTTATTTGAAAAACATGAATGGTGTAGATAACCTCGTTTCTTTCGTGGAAAACAGTGATACAAATATGAGGAGAAACAAACACTTTCTTGGACAATTGGACAGAAGAAATTACGACTAATTTACATTTATAATTGACTTGATTATTTCATCAATATTAGGAAATGAAGACAACGATCTTTCTCTTTATGGAAAAACATGCATGGGGGAGACAATCTTAGTGTTTCTTAATTGGAAAACATGAATGGAGATAGATAGCCCCAATATTTATTTCTTGGAAATCAGTGATATAAGTACCAAGAAAACAAAAGGTAGTTCGGTAGGAGGTAAATACTTTACTAGACAACAGTTATTTCTTAATCGGAAATAGGAAAACAAAGGAAGGAAATGAACACCCAAAGTGGTATTTTTTTTTTCTTTTATACTATGTTTTATTAATGTAAAAATCAGTTTATTAGAAATCATATTAAATAAGATAATTATTATAAAAATTAATATATGATTGAAAATAATATAGACAAGGCATTTAAAAAATTCAATTTAGAAAAAAAAAAAATCTCCCTTCAATTTAAAGCTTGTTCTTACTTATATATAATGTTTTTAAGATTGAATACTCTTGTGCACCTCCGTCACTCGGCTCGCGCGCAACCCCGCCCCGTTATTACCGGGCTGGTTATTCAGAGCCAGCAATTGGCTGCCGGATTTCGTTCCGCAACTATAAGAAGATCGCTTCGGGGGTTACTGTGGCGTGGCTGAATGTAGATCAGAATTCTGGATGAAGACATAAATTGTTGATTTAAATATTCTGATCAAATTTAATAAATGTATAATAAATTTATTAGTAACAAATTTTTTATATAAAAAATAATAAAAATAATTATCATGGAAATAACAAATTACAATAAAAATTATAAATATAATATATATTAAAAATTATAAAATGAAATATTAATAAAATAAGATAAAAATATAATAAAATAATTATTATTTAAAATTAACCTAATTAGTCAAATAAAAAAACTAAAATATTATATATATATTTAATAATATTAAAATCTCGATCTAAAAATTCAATTGATCAATTTTAAAATTTAATTATTTAAAAATATGGTACCGATCTCTATTCCAATTTGCGGATGGACACTCTGAACTTGCAGATCCAATTTTCAAATCCGTTACATATGGTAGCATATTTTTTGTTCTTCAAACTAAATGTTCATGAGTATGTTCAATATTTAGAGCTGGGTATTGATTAGGTATTTTAACTTCACAATTAATATGTTGTTATTTTTTCTGTATATGTATGATGATGGTGAAGGCACTTACTTCAAACCCTATTAAATTATTATACAGGTAATACATTAGAATGGTCCCCACATCATTGATATCGCAACTAAAAAGACACGAATGAAATATCGTTGCTTGAATTTGGAATTTGGATAATATTGTATGAAGTCCACTTCATCAAAAATAAAATTATACATTCTTGCATTTTGAAACGAATAATTCAAAGTAGGAAAAAAAAAAAAAACTCCTTTTCAAAGTGGCTTTATTTTTTTGAGATGTAGGAAGTTAGTTCCAATCATGTGTATGTACACACAAAAGGTAAAAAGTAGATGCCTGAACAAATAGCATAGAACGCAGAAAGGCAAGGCATAAGTAAAAAACCCAATTCTTAAGGCGATAGGTCCTTCACTTAGGAAATTTGTCACCTCTTTGCATTGTCTCTGACTTACTGGAAACTATGATTATGCCACTTTAACAACTAGTTCAAAGACTGCTTCTGCTTGAGGTGAATTTGACATTACCCTTATTCCTTTCAACTCTGTTTTGTTGAAATCGGGTCTATTTGTGCTATTCAAAATAAAAAGCTTCCCAATTATTCCTTTTATTGAGGCAAGATACATCGGTTCATTAAGGGATGACAGGAACCATTCAGAAACAATTATGAAGCCCTCAATAAAACAACTTGGAGGAGTGCAATTAAAATTACCTATATTTACAAATAACTAAACATATTTAAGAAATGTCTATGAATCACCTTAATCAGAGAATTACACAATTGTGTAATATACTTCACGCAGAAATGACGACGCAGAAGAATAACTAAACCAATTAGTAAAGAGTTAACCCATTTGGCTTTAAAAAAAAAAGTTATCCCATGTACAATTAGCCAGTGAGGACGTAGAGTAGTATAGTAGAATGAACAGATTCATCTCCCCTCCCTTCTGCAAAATCTAAGTTAAAAAAAAAAAAAACTGTTTTGTCTGCTTAGTCATATAATCCTTCCAGCTCCCAAATATCACCAAGAAAGTCAACCATTTCCTGCCAGGTTAGGATATTATAATCAGTTAGGGGCATTTCCTGATTCCTTATACATGAATATCAACAGAAAATAACAAAGTAAGAAAGCATGAATGAGAATAAATCTGCTCGTGTTTCAATTTTATAGGACAAAGTCATGTGTTTGTATCTATTTCTTTCTTGATAGACATTATGAATGAGTGGGGATTGATTAGAATTATTGAAGAGAGAAAAAGATACTAAACTTGTACATGACCTGTCATGTACATGGACATGAAAAGAGACAGTCCAATGCATGCAAGAACTTACTCCAAGAGGAATGGGCCGAGGAAATGGCTTGTCGGTTCCCATTAGACTCTCATAGGTGGCGTTCCAACTGTAAAGCAAAAACTCCAGCATTTGAACTAAACAAACATTTTGAGAAGTCACTTTGATCATTGAAATGAATCCTACGGTCATTGACCAATTCCAACTCTCCATCAATTTCCTTGTATTGAAAATGCTCTTGCACCTTATCGGTGCATTTTTTTACTTATAGTTACGGCAGAATATTTTTATAAAACAGATCAAGGAAACTAACAAGCACAGATCAAGGAACAAAATTCCCTTGAGATATGTTAAAATAACAAAATATTTTTGTCAATATTTTTACAAAATTCCCACTAATCAATGAAACTAACAAGCACAGATCAAGGAACAACCGAGCAAAGTTAAAATAATGCAATACTATAGATCTGCTTGTATATTAATTTTACCTAATTACAGGTTCTCCAACTTCTTTCTTATTCTCAGGCCTTCTATTTCCAACCCAATGTCGCCTCATCTGGTTCCAGGTAAGAAGACCTGCATATATTGTAATAATAATCAGCTTGAGATATGTAACAAAGTTTAAAAAATCCAAGAATGAATGAAATATCCTATAAAATGAAAATAAAATCAGAGATGGCTGAAAATGAAAACCAGCTTTTAACTTCAAGTTCAATAAATTTCAATTACATGTAATCAAGAGATTACAACAAGAAGAAGGAAAACACAGCTTACAAGAAAAGGTACAAAAATATAGGAGTAGACAATCAGTGTCTGTGTAACCAACTTGCCTGGGGGAGACACGAGAATGAAAGGAAAAACAAAAGCATAAAGTGAAAGTTGAATTGCAGAAGCAGTTTTGAAAGTATGGAATTCAAGCTATTTCAAGGCAGTGGAATTGTAACTGTCCCTCTAGGTTCAAGGTTTTTGAAATTGAAAGTTCCATTAAATATTAAGATACATGACAGTTAGCAATAAGTCTGGGATGTACTCTATCAACAGTTTGAGCAAGATTGTCTCCGCATCAGAGAAAATGGCTACCAAGATGATACAAGGTTACAATTCCCTTTGATAATGAGACTAACTAATAAGCCAACAGAGATAATAGATAATCTGATCATAACAGAATACTTGCCATGATTGACAAATTCAGGAGAATCAATCTGACTGCCAGAACTACTTTGAGGATCAGAAGGTATGACAACTGATGAGAAGCTTTTCTGGGATTGAAATGCACTTTGATCTATTTCAAAAGCACTGCTGCTCCAAAAATCTTCTGATATGTCTTTGTTCATTGCTTGGCCTTTAATTAAAGGAGGGTTTGGGAAGCATCCCAGACAACCTCTGCTCTGTTACAAAGCAGGTTTAACCACAAGCATGATTAACACAAACTATTAACTATATAATTAGCCTACCAGCTTTGATTAAAAGAAGATGATGTTGTGACAGAATTGCAGGTACCAGTTAAAAATTAAGTTGAATAACACAAACTAGCATAGGGGGGGGGGTGTTTCACTCCATTAACTGTATTTTAGTTCTCATTTGACCTAATGAATACTTTGAAGAAATGTAAAAGTGAGAGAACGCAACAGCCTACTTTGAGGGTATATTCTAATAAATTATTTTGGTATGGTATTTTTGGTGGACGCTTTTGTTAGGTCAATGACTGCTGTTTACATACTACAGTCAAGTCAATGAGTACAGTTAAAAATCATGGAAGAAGTGAGGAGCAACACATGGAAATGATAAAGTCATCAGCTATGTGGAGTGAACAAAATCAATGAGGGCCGTACCAGACTTAAGAGACCAGAACACAGCATCAAGTTCACATTTAAAACCTTGAGAGATGCTCATATTTCTTTTATTTCTATTTCATCCACCACAATACTTTATATTTAACACAAAGTTACATCATATAGTAAGAAGTCGTCTGCAGTTTGAGAAACAATAAATTTCCTGAAGTTAAGTTAAATAATGAAATAATTTCTCCTTACACTGAAATAATTTCCTGAAATAAATTTCCCCCGGTAATTGGGGCCTTATCTTTTCCAAGGCAGACAGCAGAACCAAAGTAAGCATGACAAAACAGTAAAAATGAACAACAGCTTTGTTCCCAGAGTACCTTCTTATTCAAGTTAACCAATAGCTCCTAGAAAGCCATGAAACCCAATAGGGCAGCGAAATTCTAAGTTTCATGTTACCAGCTTCAGAGGAATACGAGAAAGAGCAATAAACTGTAAAGCTCGATCAAGTTTCCCTGATCATCAGATCGCACACTTGCTTAGAAAGGAAGCCAGTACAAGCAAAGATTCCCATATAATTACTAAAAACCAAAGAGAAAAACCTTAGATTAAATTACCTAGCAGAGGTAAAACAGTATAAAAATATTAAACTTTCAGTTTCCAATTAATTCGAAAAGTACAAAATCGGCAATACTCATCATCTAAGTGAAGCAACCAATTCTATGTTTTCCTGAGGCAAAGGCAAGTGATGTTAGATCCCAATTTCTGAGTTCATTTACTTCCCTTAAATTGTTCCAAAACCAAACACCCTAAACCCACTCAGGAATCTGAACAAATTACATATCTATTAGAGGGATCTCCTTATAGTTCTGTCAAATTGAGTAGAATCGTACAAGTGTATTCATATTGAAAATACAATTTTTTGTTAATCTTTTCTTTTCTGCAATCAATCAAAGAGAGAGGGAACAAATAATTTACCCCATGCAAGCGAGAACCTGACAGAGCCAAGGTGGAACATATCCACAGATATGCATTTATGGAATTCCAAGCAGATCTGTCACCTCAAAATCTGAATCCAGGACGAAGATAATTCAATAACCTGCATGCACAATTTGTTTTTACTTCTCTCTCTCTCTCTCTCTCTCTCTCTCTCTCTCTCTCTCTTTTTCTGAAAAAAAAAAATGAAAAGGCAGAGAGAATATCTTCTCTTGAATTTAATAAAGCAAAATACTAGTAGTGTAGCAAATAATAAAACGGGACAAAGGCTTCTATTCTAGCTGTTGGTACTTTGGTTGCAAACAATAATAAATTAATAGTAAAGAGATGAATATCGGAATTGAATCAACTACCAGTTCAGTAAGAAACGTCAAACTCTGCCAGTTGGTTACTCAAGCGAAAGGTTTCGTGTCGAATGGCCTCACGACACACAGTGATTAAGAAAACAAAAGAAACCTCAGTGCTGACAAACGCATGCACGAAGAAACATTCCAGTGACCCTTCCCCAAATCAAGGGCCTTGTGCCCTCATTTTTTTGAAAGGTTTAGATAAGATCAATGGAATTTTATGCCCTCAATTTGGAAATAGTCAACAAAATTCTTTCCTTCATTTTTCTTTCAGAATTGCTACAAAGAATCTTCAGTATGATAATGTAATTAATAAACTAAAGGTCATTTTTAAATAAAAAGCATTACTAACGTATTGTATCATATTTTAATTCATTAATAATATTTTGGTTAAGTTATCTAAAGGTAATTTCATTATTAATATTTTGGTTAAATTATCCATAAATTATTTCAATATTTCAATTAACTATTGCTATTTTAATCAGACATTTAAATTTTACTTATTTACAATTAAATTTTGTCAAATTTTTATTAAAAGCTAATATAAAGATTTCATTAATAAATACTGATAATTGTACAATTAGTTTGTAACAATTATTTTTAATAATAATAATAATGATGATATTTAATTTATTGTTGTTATTTTATTATTAATAACAATTGTCAATTACCTACATATTGCAAATCCGGTTGTATATTTTCTTTATCAATTTTTTAATATTGTATAATAGTATTCTTAATCAAGTACAAATAGTGAAAAAAAGGTACAAATTCAAAAATTTAGTTGAAAATAATTTACAAAACCAAATTAAATTTGCCTGAAATTTTTGAGAACTACAGAAGAATTTAACCTATTATTTTTATTTATTCTTTTACTAACCAATTCCGTTTCACTTTCCAATTCATTTTCATGAGCCCAATTGGACCAAATCTACTTGATTGTGATATTACTATTTATTTATCATAAAGTGTAAAAGTATCGTAATATTCCTATTCATGCAATGAAAACTTTTTACAATATGCAGTGAACAAAAGAAGGAAAGCACAGAAAAAAATGGGTGTTCGATTTAATAATCAATCGTGAAAAATTTGGTAGTTGCAAAAAAATAAAAAAACTTTGGTATATTTATTAGAATGCTAAAATAAATAAAAAAATCGTAAAGAAAAAGACTTATTTGTTTTTACTAAGTTCATTATTGTCCCAAGAACATTGAAACTATTTCCAGATCTCGGGTGATTGTCTTTGGTAAAACGCAAGAACATCTGTAATGTGTAGTTCTAAGACTGGAATTCCTTTTTATGATATTACAGAGTTAAACTTTTTGTGAGGCGTTAGTTGGGTACAATAGTAGGTAGGTTAGGTGGTGAGAATTGAAGGGAGGAATTTTGAATAGCAACCCAAAATTGGAGCCTTGGTGTCAGGAAAATATTGAAAGCCCGGAAGAGTTGTAATGGCTCCGTCATCGGCTACATGGATGGGGTAGCGCATGAGGTGGTGAAATGGTCTGATTTCATCAAATGTTTCCTTTGAGTACATGTCCCAGTTGTCCTCCGCAAGCCTATTCACAAGATCGATGCAGTCCAGATGCTCTGGATTGTCCAAGATTTTTGAGTCAAAACCATGATCCCCAAGGTGCTCATACCATAATGCACGTCGGAATCTGTATATCTCCCCTCTGGGTCTCCGATTCCATGCTAGATGACGTGGTTGGAATGCACCCATTGCAATCTCACTGTCTCTTGAACCGTCCATTGATCTTTGGTTTATGTTAGCAGAGCCCACGATTATGTACTCGTCATCAACTGAGGGAACCAAAACACACATTATTAGTAGTCTGTTAATTCTTCACCAAACATGGAAACAATGCATGGACTAGGTAGGGTCAGCTGTACAAAGCACAGGATACTACTATTTGATTTGGTTAGAACAAAAGCTTCGAGAGATAATGTAGCAGTGGAAGATCTTAAATGAGTAATTAATTTTAACAAAATGGTATTTGATGTCATACCTATCATCATTTTGGAATGAACATATATCATGAACCTCCTTGAATTTTGTGCTCTTCTGTAGTCACTATCAGGCTCTGGTTCCTGTGGAGGAGTATACTCCCCGGGTTGCTTATGCTCCCTCTTGCCAAGGCAAAAAAATGTCAAATAATCACGAGGGCGTGCTTGAATGCCCACTTTTACTAAGGCATTAGCAATGTCGGAATACATCATCTCAATGGTTCTTCTCTGCCAATCTAATATTGCTTGAACCGAGTCACTTTCAGGTACACCTTCAGGCCACATTGGGATCACTATGTACACAGAAAACCTCTCTTTTGCTTCAATCTTGCTTACAATCTTCAATGTCAACTCCTTTGGTATAAGATGCAAAGCACATATGTCTTCAATCACAATGCCATCAGTTGCTTGCCAACCATATGAACTCCCTATGAAGTATTGGTTCTCAATGTAGATGAAGTTTTTTGCACGCCTGATAGCATTAATGTAGGCATCCTGAATACTTCTCTCAATGACATTGTCTTTCCCACTAACAAGTCCCAATGAAGCAACAACATCTGGGGCTTGGGGGAAGCCAAAAGCAGTACTACCGTCAATGGATCTAAACAACTGAACATTCCACGTGTCTTCTTCTCCCACTTCTGATTTTTGTGCATCATATGGGTGGACTAGAATGTGATCAAGGTAATCGGGTGAGAATAACAGTTCCTTCCCAACTTGCTTCTCCCACCTTTGCTCAAAATTGTACAAAACATCCCAAGCAATAGGACCTTCTAGCTTGCAATGAATGTCATGCCATGGCTCTCTTGGACCACCTTTATCAATAGAAGCATTTGGGAAGTTTGGTTGGTGGAAGTCATTTCTATGCACTGTATTCAAACTCGAAAACAGAGGATGATCCCTAGTATCATACCTCCCATCACAAAGATCAAGGCCACCGATGAAACTTATGACGCTTCGCTTCTTTGATGACCCTACAACACCTGCATCAACAACCACACTCTTTTGGTGATGAGTGAACATAGTTGATATTTGAAGGCCTTGAATTATGCTTTTCCCATCATCCGGGTTCCGTGGACACAAAACACAATGCACCTTTGTGTTTCTAAAGTAAGCAGCAGTTTCCTGATCATGAGTTGCCATCAAGCCATCTTTCGTAAATTCCGGTACAGAAGTTCTATCATTCCAAATAAGCAAAAGAACTTTAACACCTTCATCAGCCTTCTTCTTAAGTAACTCCCCGAGGTTGATATTTGATTCCTCTTTGTCTCTAACTAATGCTATTTCAGTGTAAACAGACCAACCAGCTATGTAAACAAAGTACTTTGCGTCCATAATGGCAGTGTAAATGTCCTCCCAACATCTTGCAGGCAAGTAGTCCTTTTCATCGGATATTGGAATATATGGGACGACACCAACGCCACGTGGTGCATGAGCATCTTGGTACAAAGTAACATGACAACCTTCTCTCTGGCTGAAAAATGTACGAGGAACTCCAAAAAATGGCATGCGAATTCCCTGAGACCATGAGCATGTTGTGTCCTGCGTGACGCTATAGAATTGCATGCTGACACAGATTTTGGAGTGACCTGGCACGGGACGACGATCTTCGTCCAATATCTCAACCCACCTCTTAACTATGGGGCCCTTGCGAACTTGCTCTGCAGGGACATAGGCTCTTCCAATTAGAGTTGCTCCAATTGGGTTACCATCTTTGACAGTGAATATGATGTTTGAGATTTGATGGGCACAGTAGATTTCAAAGCTTTCATTCCACTTTGGGTGAGAAGGTTGGTTTCCTATCATTCTAGTTCGCCCAACCCTTGCCTTGTCTAAATCAACTGTTGCATACAATCTCGTCCCGACAATCTTCGTCATGTTTCCACATGTTAGAATTTAAGAAAAGAAAAATGTAATCTTAGTACAGTGAGTTGTCAAAATTAGTTTCAGTTTTACATTTTTTGAAACTAATGAAAATAACTCTCTAGCTTCGCAGAATATGTTTCTTGTGCATTTACTAATAATAAAAAAAAGTATGTTACCTGAACAAGTGAAAGAACTAATGTGGCCAATTGTTACAAAGATTGAAAAGTTGTTTATTGGTTAACATACCTCAGGCCGGCACAGCAGACAACCCTTGACTTGGGCTAGAAATCTCTTACCCTTGTGTGTTGTGCCCTTTGTTCCCATATTTTTAAACAAATAAAGAAAAAGAAACACAAAGTCAAAGAGAATAAGCATGTTAATTTCTCTGAAAAGTGATGCAGAAAGCATTGACATGTACAAAGGCTTGATTAGGAGAGTATAAACTAGTATCATTTCTTATGATCTATTTTCCTCAATAATTAAAAGGAGAGAACCCCCAAGAATTGGTTTAATGATGAGACTGAATAGTTTTATGAAGTTACAGATTCAAATTTCCATGAGATCATTGTACACACAAAAAATAAAGAGTTTCAATGAGGATACCTGCTGACAGAAATCCAAATGACATCCAGTATGCAGTCTATCAACTTCAAAAATGGTTACCTTAAGAGTCCCATGTAGCAGCTCAGGCATTTTGTTTTGCATTTTATTACTATTACCTTCTATGCTATGATCTGTATCATAACCATAGAGGGTAATCAAATTGAGTGAAATATAAATTGAATTTTCACAAGAATTTATGTAGGAGGCTTTTCAGGTGTGGTGAAAAGAAGCTGGGAACGTTTTGTTAAATGTGATGGAAATATTAGGAAAGATCACATTCTAAGTTGACAATGATGTATATAAATGGAGAGAGACATGGAAAGAGAATATAGGGAATGTTCTGTTTGAAGAAAGTGAAATGTGTTTGGAGAACAAAACCAAAAACCAAGAATCAGTTCTCTCCTTGGCTTGTAAGAAGCATTTGCCTACTTCAAACGGACTAGGAGCCCATTTTGACAAGGTAAGGTGGCTTATCCACCACCCAAGTTACCATTTTTTGTTTTAAATTAGTTCAATTGTGTGTATGCATGGACTATTTTTCCTTTATTAATGCAGTTCTATGCAATTTATTTCAATACTTAGGTTCATCAGATCTCATACTTGCTTAGAAAGCAAGTACCAGCGAAATTTCCCATATAACGAAAAACTAAAGAGAAAGACCTTAAACTAAATTACCCTGCAGAGGCAAAAGTATAAAAAATATCAAACTTTCAATTTCCTGCGGTTCGAAAAGTACAAAATCAGCAACAACACTAACCATCAAAGTGAAGCAACCAGTTTTACGGTTTCCTTTGAGGCAAAGGCAAAGGCAAGGCAAGTGATTTTAGATCCCAGTTTCTGAGTTCATTTACTTCCATTGAATTGTTCCAAAATCAAACACCCAAAACTCATTCAGGAATCCGAGCAAATTACATATTTATCAATGGGATCTCCTCATGGTTCAGTCAAATTGTGTAGACTCGTAAAAGTATATTGATATGAAAAATTGGATCTTTTTAACTTTTCTTTTCAGGGACAAACAAAGAGCGAGACAAATAAGTTTTTCCAGTGAGAATCTGACATAGTCAAAGTGATAGCATGTTATAACGAGGGTTGAACTTGACTTAAACTTTAAAAAACTGTCTTCAAGATGAAGTCTTAAAATATAAAATATATTACATTTTTTTTAAAGTGGGAATTTATATCTAATTTAAGTCGTTTGGTAGTTTGGTTTCATAAAAACTCAAATATGATAACAGAATAAACTAGTTCAGTAAGAAACCACAAATACTGATATAATACAGATTTAAGTGGCTCACAACAACTATTTGGTGGACCTTCAGTGCCATTGAGGTAGTTAAGGTAAAGAGAAAGTTTGTTTAGGCAATAGCTATCTTGAGCACTTCCTCTTGGGATACTTTTTAAGTTTCTACGTTCTTTGAATTCAAATCTGCTAGCACAAAGGGCTGCAATAGTTTAAGATATAGAACAGGCAATATAGCAGCTAAGAAAATATGATCTCGCAATAAGCTAAGATATAATATAAGCAATATCTGACCCTTCTATTGTTATGTATGAAGAATATGGCTTGCAGTGTTAGCCAATTGAAATCTACACAAATGAAAATTCTTAGGTAGTCATAAGAATTCGAATTCAAGGTAGAAGTATATATATATATATAATTTTTTTTGGTGTCTCATTTATAAATACATCTAGCTTTGAAAAATATTTAGTTTTAATTTTTTTTCTATAAATATTAGAAAATAAATAAAAAATTAGTTTCTCATGTTTTTTAAAAATTTTATTTTTCTCTTCTAATAATATTTAGGAAGAAACTCAAAACTTTGTCAAGCGAATTATATTCCCGTCATCTTAATACGAAAACAATTTATTGTATTTTTCTATAATTTTTATAGATGTTTTTATCAATCAACACTTTTAATTGAATTTTTTCAAAAATTTAATATCTCCAAATATAACATTTTTATACGTAACACTATAATATTAGTTGAGATTATAACTAGCATAGTAATTAAAAATTAAATAATAACATTTCGTGACTTGTAGTTCATGTGAAACAAGTTATAATTTTGGAAGGGAATTTTCTAAAAAAAAAAAACTAAATTGAATAAATATTTTATATTTAATTTGGTTGACAAGTGTTAACTTCTAAAGGAATATGTTTAACTAAATATTTCAGAACAAATAGTATTTCTCAAAAAAATAGTAGCGAATGAAATTTAAAATGGTTTTTAACTCGACACATTTTTTTCAACCCAAATTTTATCATATATATTGCTTTATATATACACATTGATTTCCCCTTGATATCGAATACTCTAACCTAGTTTATCTTTGATTAACTATTTGTTAATTAGTTATAATGTTTCTAATTGGAAAGTTGTACCCAAGAATATCTGGGATTACTTATTTAGAAGGCTGATACTGGCACAGGGCCTATCCAGTATAGAAAACTTGTAATAACGTTTAGTATGAAGAAATAAGTACTCTGTTTAGGAACAACAATTACATTTTTTAGTACACAGATGGTAACAACAATTCTTGACATGAACACAGATCCAATTTTTCACCACCCTCTTCCCAGTGAGTTATTGCATATGTTCTGATAAGTACCGTTGGTATAAGCTAGGTTGTGAGAATTGGAGGAAGATAGTCTGATTTAGAACCCAAAATCCGAGCCTTGGTGTCAGGAAAATATTCAAGCCCTGGAAGGCTCCTTATGGCTCCCTTGTTGGTTACTTCAATGGGATAACGCATGAGGTGGTGAAATTCTCTAGTCTCATCAAACGTTCCCTCAGAATATATGGCCCAGTTGGTTTCAGCAAGATGATTCACAAGCCTGATGCATTTCTTGCTTTTAGGATCGCCAAAAATGTTTGTACCATCATCAGGATCCCCTAGGTGTTCATACCATAGGGCACGTCGAAATCCATATATTTGTCCTCTGGGTGGTCTATCATAAACTGCTAAATGGCGTGGCTGAAATGCACCCATTGCAATCTCACTGTCTCTTGCTCCATCCATTGATCTTTGATTTATGTTGGCAGAACCAATTATTATGTATTCATCGTCAACTGAAGGAAGCAAGAGACACCACACTTTTTAATATCATATCATATCATATTATCATATGACCAAATATAAAAGTACCAAAAGAAAATATTGGAAAACTTCTGAGCATATAAACAAGTGCTCGGGTTGGATTCCTTACCTATCATCATCTTGGCATGAACATAGATCATGAATCGCCTAGACTTTTGTGCTCTACTGTAATCACTGTCGGGTTCCGGTGCCTCTGTAGGCGTATACTCTCCACCCTTCTGACCTTCACGGTTTCCAAGGCAGAAAAAGGTCAAGTAGTCCCTTGGGTGGGCTTCAGTTCCAGTTCTTTCAATGGCTTGAGCTATATCAGCATACATCATTTCCATTGTTCTCCTTTGCCAGTCTAATATTGCTTGGACTGAAGCACTCTCAGGTATGCCTTCTGGCCACATTGGTATAACAACATACACAGAAAACCTTTCCCCTCCTTCAATCTTGCTAACAATCTTCAATGACAGCTCCTTTGGTATAAGATGCAATGCACCAATATCCTCGACTACAATATCAGATGCTTGCCAAGCATATGAACTCCCTAGGAAATATTGGTTTTCAATGTAGATGAAGTTTTGGGCTCGTCGAATAGCATTTATATAAGCATCTTGAATACTTCTATCGATGATGTTGTCTTTCCCACTAACAAGGCCTAATTCAGCTGCTTCTTCTGGGTCTTGAGGGAAGCCAGAAGCTGCACCACCATCAATGGATCTAAACAACTGAACGTTCCATGTGTCATTATCATTTGTCAATGCCGCAGTGGATCGAGGGACAAAGTACTCGTTAAGCATGCTTGAAGGGAATAGGAGCTGATTCCCAACCTGCTTCTCCCACCGTTGTTGAAAATTGAACAAAACATCCCAAGCAACAGGCCCTTCTAACTTGCAGTGAATGTCATGCCATGGCTCTCTTGGACCACCTTTCTTGATGGAAGCACCTGGGAAATTTGGCTGATGGAAGTCATCTTTATGCACTGTATCCAAAGTTGAAAATAGAGGATGTTCTTGAGTATCGTATCTCCCATCACAAAGATCAATGCCTCCTACAAAACTTACTATTGTTCTCTTCTGTCGTTGCCCCATAGCAGCCCCGACAACTTGACTATCAACAACTATAGTCTTTTGGTGATGAGTGAACATTGTTGAAGTTTCAAAACCTTGCACTATGCTTCTTCCATCATCCGGGTTCCTTGGACACAAAACACAATTCACCTTTGTGTTTTTAAAGTAATCAGCAGTTTCTTGATCATGGGTTGCCATCAAGCCATCTTCCTTGAAATCTGGCACAGATGTTCTGTCATCCCAAACAAGCATAAGAACCATAACACCTTCCTCAGCTTTCCTCTTGAGCAATTCCCCAAGGGTGATTCTTTCGGGCTGCATGGGGTCCCTAATCAAGGTTATTTCAGTGTACACAGACCAACCGGTTATGTAAATAAAGTACCTGGAATCCGAAATGGCATTGAAAATATCCTCCCAGCATTTCCCAAACTCATAATGCTTTCTTAGAGACAAGGGAATCAACGGCTTAAAACTATCGGAAACATGGGCATCTTGGTACAAAGTAACGTTGCATAAAGTTCTTTGACTGAAGAAGGTGTGGGGAACTCCTTGAAACCTTGGACCTATTATTCCTTCAGACCAGCTTATGTCGTTCCTAACACTAGAGAATTGCATTTTGACATGGATTTTAGAGTCACTTGGTATGGGGTTATGATCCTCGTCTAATATTTCTACCCATTTGTCCACTATGTTACCTTTCACAACTTGCTCAACAGGGATATAAGCTCTTCCAATTAGAGTTGCGTCAATTGGGTCTTTTTGTTTGACAGTGAATATAACATAGGAGATCAAATGTGCACAGTATATGTGAAAGGTCTCATTCCACCTGGGGTTGGAGGGTTGATCATTTAACAGTCTAGTCCTTGCAACTCTTGCCTTATCTAAATCAACTGTTGCATAGAGGCCCGTTTGGGTAAACTGTGAAAACATGTAAAGAATTAGACTTCTTAGAAGGAAATTTAAGCATGTTGCTAAAAGTTAGCTGCCAAAAAGCTTAAATTCAAAAAGAGAGCGTGTCAAGAATTAAGATACCCCGGGCTGGCATTGGCATTGACAGAACAAACAACTCTTGAGTTGGGAAAGGAATCTCTTCTTCACGCTTCTACTTGTACCCTTTGTTTGCAAAATTTGAAACCAGACATGAACAAAACCACGAAATAAAACTTGACACAATCTTTTTTACCTGAATATACTAGACTATATTTGACACATAGATAAGTAGTTCATATTATGATGACAAATTCTTTAGAATCGAAATGTAACAAGTAATTAATAAAATATCATACGAAGCATAATTATAAGTCAAAGCTTATAGTAAAAGAAGCTTTAGTTCATCTACATTCAAATTAAAGATTTAGTCTACTAATTTTTTTTTAATCCTCCTACTTTATTCTTTCTTTTTATTTAACTTCTAATCTTAAATTTAGCATTATGTATAGTCTGTAGCTACATTGATGAAAGAACAGAACAGGGGAAGGAGTTTTTGGATTAAGGCATGCACCTTGCAGCAGAGGTTGAAATCGCAGTCGTTAAGAGTTGGTAGTGTATCCACCTCACATATGATCACATCGAGCGTCCCATGCAGCAAAAGTGGCATTATGCAACTAACGACAAAGATTTAGATTTTACTTTCCACAACATCAACACATATGCATGCATGCATGTTACAGATTTTATAAAATAGCTAAAAGCAATGCAAAAATGGAAGTTGCTTGCTTACATGGAAAATGTTGACGATGGTACCGTCCTTATGATGAAGGCCTCTTAATGTGATGCATTTATAGGGAGAATAGTGGATGTGATATGATATGATGCATATTGTGTCTTAATTCTCAAGCAAGAGATATACTGTGTAAACAAACATAGCTTTGAAGAGTAGAGATTCTTTTGCAATTTCTCAACTTGGAATTAGTTCTCACCTTAACATTCAAGGAAGAGAAATTGTACGAGAATGTTAAAGGTTCATTTGGCCAGGATGGGATGGGTTAGAGTGTGTTTAAAAACATTGGATTGATGTGTGTGGGGAAATATATTCCTGAGTCAAAAAGTATTTGAAGCAAGGATAAAGTAACAACAGTAACTCCTTTATGATGCTGTGACTTTTCTGTTCTTTTGGGTCCATTGTTTGTTAAGGTAAGAATTTTTGTGTCCTGTGTCTAGTGAATTGAAAGGAGTCCAGTCACGAAAAGATTACAGAAAATCTTTGTACTATGATGTGTGAGAATGGGGGAACATTTGCCTCAAAATTAAGACGAAAAATGTTAATATCTTCTTCCTAATTAAAATAATGTTTGAATCCTTGACTAAGTAGTTAAAATATACACATTGTTGCTAACTATGTCAATTACTGTTGATTTTTATTAATTATTTGAACATATAAGAATTATTTTGTTTTACTTTTTTAATTAAATATATTTTTATTAATCCTACATTATCCCAGCAATAGTTTATAAAGCAGCAATATACAACAACTAATTAAAAATTATATAAATGATGCTTTTTAAGGATTGATTATATAGTTTTTATTTGTTAAATTCATAAGATAAATATGATTGGATATTAAAAAAATATTAGTTATCCTAAAATTATTGTGAACGTGATGTATTGGTAATTAAATTGAGACTTTTCTTCAGTGTTGATATCCATTCATTCTCTTTTATTAATCTTTTAAGTTAGTTGCTCAATAAATATTTCTGGCCCCGCCTCTACTTCTGGGATAAAATTCCAGACATTCATTTTTCTAATAATGAATGAACAATTCAGTCATATTAAAATAACAATAATAATAATTCTTTCCCATCAACATTCACGTTTTATACTTAACTTAAAAAAAAAATTATTTTGTCTTATAGACAATTTCTATGCTTGAGATATTGTGCAGGTTAATATTTTCGTCCATCACCATTTTTTTTTCATAAAAAGAAGATAAGTTCCGGAGTGGAAGTTTATAAATTAGGAGTGAAAAATAATAAATAATTCATTGGACAACCATTACATTGAAATTTAATTTAATTTAATTTTTCATCGTTTCTTACTTTTTCAATATGCATGAAAAGAGAGTTTTAACGGTGATAGAATAGAAATACAAATGACACGTGTAATATTGTTACATTATCATGATGTATGATAGAAGATAGTTTTCTATTTCTGAAGATAGGTGATTAGAAAATTTGTTTCTCATATTTCCTTGTTTCTACATATCCAATAATAATAATAATAATAAAAGTCACATTTTAACATAATTTTGAAAGTCACATCACATAGTTTGGTTTGACTGTCTAATTGGGAACAGCTATGGTGATTAGTTTAGTCATTAAATTAAATTGGACATTTTCAGAATCATGATATAACAGGTTTAATAAAACTAATCAAACTGTCAAATCATGATAATAGTTTATTTGAATCAGTAATTTGATTATTAAAAATTTAAACTAAAAAATAATAAATGAAAAGACATGTTTATAAGATTTACAAAATAATATAAATTATTTTATAAACTATATGTATTATATATAAAAATATGTAATTAAATTATTTGCACTAATTTATGCTTTTGTTAGTGGAAAATCGAGAAAAGTGATCGAAAAATCAAGGAAAGAAAAATTGAGAAACATGTGATTTATTGATAAATCGAAAAGATGGATGAGAAACCATTCGATGTTCAATTAGAAGTGCGTGGCACATAAAATCGAGAGGTAGAATCAAGAATCGAAGGAATAATAGTTAAATGTCTATTGTCGAATAAAAATCAAGAAATTAGAAGTATATGACGTTAAGGTTAAAAGGAATCGAAAGCAATTCAAAGTTCTCGATATCTTAAAATCGAAATTGAGGGGAAGATTAACTTACGAGGATATCGAAACTTTGGTCAAATCATAAAGAGAAGAATAGTTAAACACGCAGATAGGAAACAGTTTTTTAACCGTGGCAGAGGTCGAAGATCATGGGAACGTGGGTGCGGTTTTAACACCACAGGAAAAGAAACCGCAACATGCACGAAGAACGTGGTAGCAGTTTCGTTAACTGCTCCTAAGAGACTACTTGAAAGATGATCTATAAATAGAGCAAAAGATGAAAGGAAAGGGGGTGGAAAAAATTGGCAGAGAACAGAAATACTAGTGAGAAGTCTACCGGAGAACGACGAACATCATGAAGTTTCTGACGATCTGGATTTCCATGCTCATTGAGTACCTTTACCGCTTTCTTTATTTTCCCTGGTAATCTAATTTGATGCAATTTATCTTTAGCAACTTTAAGTTTTTGTACTTTCGATTCCTTGTCATTTCCTTTAATGAAAGTTAAGTTTCCGCATTTAAGCTTCTTGCTATTTACATTTCTGTAATCTCGATTCCTTGCTATTTACATTTTTGCGTATTTCGATTTCTTGCCAGTTATATTTTCTGCAATCTCGATTTCCTGCCATTTACATTCTCGCTACTCCAATTTCTTGTCATTTAATGCAAATTTGAGGTTTCTGCATTTTTACCTCTTGGCAATTCAATTTTCTGTTTTGCTTTTCGATTCGACGCTTCTATTGCTTTGTTTACTTTGAACACTCTAAACATAAAATACCAAAAACAACATTTTCGATACTATGTAAATTTCGATTCTCATATGCATTTCAATTGAAAATCAATTTGCTAGCCTAAGTAAAAAAGAACTTGCGTGGTTGAATTTTGATTAGAATCAAAACCTCTTAAGAATCGGAATCGATCGAAATTCCACCAGAAACAAATTGGCGTGCCAGGTAGGGGATCTTGTGTTGAAAATACACAAAATTGGTTAGTTTGAAAGTATATGAGATTAAGGAGTGGGCGAGTTATAAGAATGAGTCAGAATCCACCAAATAACCAGAGTAACAGTGAGGGTCTAAATGGTGCACATCCACCAAATACTGGGGGGTAAAGTTATAATGGGAATATGCCTGTAATATCGACAACCGTGAGTATGTCGATACCTGTGAGTAATGAACAAAATGCAGGCACATTAGCAAACACCCAAGTAGGATCTAGTACGGTGACACCAAACAATATGCAAACTATGGGAAACCCCATAACAACAAATGTTGGGCCATATATGAGCGTAAGACCACCTGGGTTTTCGCTTAATATGAATGGGGCTGGTACCTCTTCGATACAACGAAACTCGAGATTTAACCTAGGAATGCCTCAGAACTCAGGTACCTTTCAAACCTTAGGTATGCTGCAAAATTTCGGAGTCTCTCCGAATTTAGGATCTCAAAATTTAGTAACCCCCCAGAATTTAGGGAGTGGGCAGAATTTAGGTACACAACAGACATCTCCAAATCTAGATCACAGAGCAAATCTGGATCATGGGAGAAATGCATTCGATAGAGATTATCATCGATCTAATTTTGAGACTATTGAAAACACTAGTACTGGGATCTCCAGCAACTCACTAGGAGTACTTAGACAACAAATGGATGAGAGCAATTTTGAGATGGTGAATATGTTATCACAACTACAGTCCTCAATCCATTAGTTCAAAACACTACTGCTAGTTTTGAGATATTAGCAGACCAAATGACCCGTATCGGGGATGCATTGGCTATACCTCGACAAACAAGAGTGGAAAATCATGTCAATCAAAGCATTAACCAAAGTGCTAACATCAATTCCCTGTATCTATTGAGGAGGAATCGAAACAATGATCAACATCAGCATATGGGGAACGAATATCAACATGTGAGGAATGATATTTATGGCAATCTGAATGAGGGATTTCAAAATATGTACAATCAAAATAATATGCAGTATAATCACATGTTAGGACAAAGGGTGAATTCCCAAGGAATGGAGTTAAGAACACCCAATCAAACGTATTTTGTTTCTCCTTTTCCGAATGTTATTCTCGAGACAGAATTACCTCGAGGATACAAAATACCCAAATTCACCAAATTTGCTGGAGAAATTGGTGAATCCACTATTGAGCACGTGGCTCGATATCAGATCGAATGTGGGGATCTAGCGATGAGTGAAGAATTAAAAATGAAATATTTCCCTAGTTCATTGACGAAAAATGCTTTCACTTGGTTTACTTCGCTGCCGCCCAATTCGATATATAATTGGTTGCAGCTGGAAAGAAATTTTCATGAGCAATTCTTTAGAGGAGAGACTCAAGTAAGCCTCATCGATTTGATGAACATAAAAAGATACAATCATGAAAGTATAGATGATTATTTGAATAGATTTAGACAAATGAAATCGAGATGTTTTACTCAAATTCCTGAATATGAATTAGTCAGAATGGCCTCTGCAGGCTTAGAATTCTCGATTAGGAAGAAGTTAGTTAATTTACCATTGAATGACATGGCTCAATTAGCTGATAAAGTGAGAAGAGTAGAACAAATTGAATATGAAAAACAAAGGTATAAGAAATTTGAAAAACCCATGAAAAAAGAAAGAGTAGCATATATAAATGATGTGTATGAGACAAATCCCTCGACATAAACTAATATTGGAGAAATTGTCGATGAGAAAGTTAACATAGCAGAGCTCAAAGTAGGAGCTCCATATATCTGTAAATTACTACAAAAAAATGAAGTAAAAGACAAAATGGCAAATCGAACATATACTTTCGATGTAACGAAGGCAGATAAGATTTTCGATATTCTATTAAAAGATAAACAGATTAAGTTGAGTGATGATCATAAAGCGCATTCACGAGAACAAAGGAATAGTCGAAAATACTGCAAATTTCATAATGTTTATGGACACTTGGACTAACAATTGTATACATTTCGGGAATACGATCCAAGATGCGATCGCCCAAGGAAGAGCGAAGTTCGAAGAGATGCCAATGAAAGTGGACACGAGTCCATTCGAGGTTCGAGTGGGGTATATTGAATCCCAAATGGGCATGATCGAAGATGTCCGGGTGACAAATTCGACTTTTATAGGCATGGTC